AGAAGGCTACAATTTGAGGACTTTCACGTAGAAGGCTACAATCTGACGACCTTCACGACAACTGATGAAAGCTCTAATTCAACAGCATTCACAATCAACATCGGGAGTTACAATCTGACGACTCTCATATTTTTAAGGAGCCAAGACGAAGTTTACAAGAGGACGATCTGTGCAAAGCTCTAGCAAAAAAGACTACAAATTGACGGTCTCTTCATATTAAAACGCATATATCTCTCAAACCGTAAGGAATTTGACGAAACGGAGGAAGCGAACTGAAGCCTTCGGCTCGGTTCGGATGGCCCCGTCTCGTCGAGATAGCCGATTTTCATATATAATTCGTCCAATTCCGACGTACGGTTTGAAAGTTATGACCTGTTCTTCGTAGCAGATTATGTTCTGAGGTCCGTCTGCAAGACTGGACTTCGTCAGAACATCGGACTTAGCCTGAAGCTCGCCGAGCTGTGCGTTCCTTAAACAGGCGTCGAACTCTGTAACGCAGAGTTGAATCGTAAAACGCAGACAAGTGTGCGTTCCTTAGCAGGCGTCGAGCTCTGTAACGCAGAGTTAAATCACGAAACGCACACGTAATGTGCGTTCTTCGACAGACTCGACTGCATCCCAAACTCTGAACGCAGAGTTGATCCTCAACGCACCAGTGACCTGTGCGTTTCCAATTTCAGAACGCATGCGGCCTGTGCGTCTCAAATCTCCAACAGAGATTTAACTCTGCGTCCTAAGCCTTGGACGCAGAGTTAAAGCCCAAACGTGGCATGTGCGCCTGTGTTGCTTGAACTGCTGAACGCAGAGTTCAGCTCTGCGTTCTAACGCCCTAGCACAGAGAATCTGCCTGTGCGTTCAGCCACCAAGATAGGCCCAACTCTGCGTTTTTAGTCTAAAAACGCAGAGTTTGGGCCCTGAACGCCGTTTTTAGCGTTTGACTCGTTCAAGCACGCAATGAACAGTTCCAGGAACTGTTTTTCCCCACGATTTGAGGGATTTTCGCCCCACTTAAGAGCGGATTAAGGGGGTAGTTACCACCCTTAATCCCCTATAAATACCAGAAACTCAATTGAGTTCAGGGATCGAATTTTTTCTCATCAACAAAGGGAGATTCGGTCAAAAGGCTGGCATTTATTCTTGGATCTGGGACTTGGCAGCAACAGAGAGTTTTGGAGATCAACAACTTGAAGGAGCTCTTGAATTATTTTGGAAGGCTTTTAATTGAAGCCTTTGAAATTATTCGGCCTTGGCTTATAACCGACTTTCGGTTCAAATCAACTCTTTTTCAAGAGTTCAAACTCGTTCAGAGTTATCAACTCGATCAGAGTTCAAAACTTGCTCTGCAAGTTCTTCTAAAACTCACTCTGAGTTATTAACTCGTTAAGAGTTATTTTTAAGACTCTTTTTCAAGAGTTTCGAACTCGATCAGAGTTATCAACTCGTCCAGAGTTTCAAACTTGCTTTGCAAGTTCTCCACAGCGTCAAATCGTGAGGAGAAGACATCGTTCCAGTGAATCAAGACGTTCGGATCGTCAACGGAGAGCAAGTTCGACGCGATCAATCGAAGGAGGCACCCCCCCCCCCCCCCCCACCCCCCCCAAAAAAACCATTTCAAATCATCACAGTGACATCATGAAAAAAAAGAGAAACAATATTATGGTCTTCACATATTTTAAACTATTGGGTTTTGTGTTTTGAGGGCTCAGAGAATTGTGGCTTTGCTTTTAGGGGCTTTGAGAGTGTTGAAAAAGTCTTGAGGGTGGGCGGAATACTTTTAGGCTACGTTTGGGAACTTGGATTTGGGCCCTGGATTTAAAATTCAGGGTATTTCAAATCCAAATCTCTCGTTTGGGCTCTAAGTTGGGCTGAGATTTGAAATCAACTTATTTTGAAGAGGGGAATTTGGAAACCCAAATACGCGTATTTCAAATCTCACCCTGCCCCTAGGTATTTGCCAAAATCCGACCGGACTCCTCCTCTCTCATTTCTCAGTCTCGATTCCGACTCTCAAGTTCTCTCTAACCTCTATCTCTCCTCTCTCCCCTTCTCCTCTCTCGTCATCACATTTACTCACCACTGTCTGTTCCCTCCTCAGGATCTCATCGTCGTCGTCGCCCCCGCTCTCCCCCTCGCCGTCGATCTCAGCTCCGGCGAGGGTTTCGATGTCGTCTTCGCCGCTTTCGGCCAGGTGACACTTCACCACACTAGATCCCCACTCCCACTTCCACATCGAAGGCGACTGAGCCTATCTTCTGACCGAGGGTTCTTTTTGATCGAGCACCTAGGGTTTCCGTAACATGCGAAAGATTCGACTCTGATTGATTTTTCTTCAAATTTCAAGATTGCGTATTGAGGAACTGAAGGATTTAAAGGCGGGAATTGAGGAGGAGGAGGAGGAGGAGATTTCAAGATTGCGTATTGAGGAACTGAAGGATTTAAAGGCGGGAATTGAGGAGGAGGAGGAGGAGGAGATCTCCACCCCTGCGCTTCTCTATGATCTTTTCATCAGGAAGATGATCCAGGCGGAGTTTCGGTGGTTGATGAGGTCTGTTTTCTCTATTTTCTCTGTTTAATTGGTAATGGATTTGTTTAAAAGACTGAAAATTTTTCCATCTTACGTAGAATTGTGTTATAATGTTTGTTCGATAATATTTGGAGGTTCTCTGCGTGGGAATTTGGTAGTGAAAAGAGTTGGATTTATATACAGAATTCAAGTTTAATCAATTAAACAACAACAACCACCAGCGAAACTTTCTTGGTTACATCCAACCTAGTTCTCTTAGGCCTAACTCTGGTACATTTAGTAGTCTCTTCAAGTCTACGACACTCGTGAGATTGAAGTTTCTAGATATGATGCAGACATAGGGCATTTTATAAATTATGATGAGTCTACGATATTTCTTGAATGCCATCCTATGTATCTGGTTTTGGCGGTGAGATGATGAGCATAATAACCAACAAGAGTTATTAATAACTTGAATGCAAATCTTTGCAAACATAAAAGGAGAAGATTGTGTTATCAATTTGTTCTGCATAGTTTGATGATGCACACGTTATTCACCATTATGGTTCCTCTACTTTTTCTAATAGGGATACCAAATTAAAAATCCTTGCAATTCTCAAGATATTATCGTGATTTTTAAATGTAATTCTCTTATCTATAGCTTCTTGAATGTTTATTTTGGGTTTCAATATTTATCTTTTACATTAAGCATACTGCTCATATTCTATGGTTCATGTTTCACTTCTATTACTGTTAAGCAATATTGAAAATTAAGTCATAAATTATCATGTATCATTATCACTACTCTCCATAAAAATTAAGTCATAAATGGTTAAATCCAATCCAAAAGCATCTCCACAAAATTTAGATCATCCACTTTTGTGTGAGGCATTGATTGATGTGTTAAAAGTTATAAGCAAAGTTGTTTTAGATGATCATCTTCAGGTCTGCCCGTTTGACATTTTGAAAGAACGCATTTTGTAGCTTTGTTAATGTTGGTGATGTAAAATCATCTGAATTGATCTGTTATAACATGATGAGTATTGTATTATTATGCTAGTCCCGGTGTGCCTCTTTTGATATCTCTCGGTCTATCTTCTGGCACTACATGATTTTCCAATGTTACAGAAGACATTTCTGTAACTTTTTAGATATTTATTCTATGTTTATTTAATTGAAGACAACATGTGCTTAGTTTTTATTAATTCTTTGTTGAGTTGAAGTTTGAGTGTATAATTCTGAGTTTTATGGCTATAACTTGGTCATTGCAGTGTTTATTTAGTTTGCTATATGGTTACCCCCCACCCAAAAAAAAGTGACTTTTTGATTGATAGAGTAAATATCGTGGTTATTATCCTCACACATGCATGAATATTGTGTTCACCACCTGTTATTGCAATCGGGAAAAAGTAATTATACCCTCTGTAATAATAGGTCATATTTTTCTTTAAAAAAAGTTCTATAGATCTGCAAAATCTAGTTTAAACTGGAAGTTGTAAAGGGTTTAAAGATAAACAATATGTCAAACTGTGAAATCCAATTTAAAAGAGAAGATGGGAAACAGTAAAGTATGACTTTTGTGATTCTTTCCAACATGAGTGCATTATAGGGTTTTTTTTGCTTCTGTGTTCTACTGAGGTTATGTTCTTGAATTTTTTTTTCATTGATATTCTTGTTTTGTTTCTTAAACACGTTGCTCTAATACATTTGCTATGAGTTTCTTTTGCTAGGTGCAGTTCCATTTCCTAGTCATGTTCAATGCTTAAAAACTTGGTGTTTGTGGAGTAATCACCTTAAATGAGTCATACGAAACCTTGGTGCCTACATCACTTTATCTTGTAAGTATTTACTTTTATTTGGTGTTTGTGCATTTGGTGTCTTTTAACTCTTCTAGTACTTCCTTTCTGTTATATATTTTCTCCGCATTGTTATATAAAAACATTATATTTTCTATTATATATTCTGACCCCTGATCCCTTCCTAAAAAAACAGATGATGGATGATTCTTTCTTCATATTGTTGGGATATGTGTTGTATCTATCATAGTATCGAGTGTGCTTTAAGTGAACCTTTGGATAGTGCTATGGTTTAGGGGGTTACTGAAACTTACAAAATGTTTCACTGTCATTTCTGATTGTCCTTGGTACACACTTGCGGCTGTTGCTGCTGTTAGGCAGATTAGTTGAATCGTTTCTGATTTGGTCCATTCATGTGTAATTTGTCTCTATTTATGGACAACAAGGCTCAAAGTACTACAAAACCAATGAAGGCATTGACATTACCTGTTATCTTTTCTTGTGAAGTAATCTGGACCTCGTGGACATTCGCATCTTCAAGTAACAGGGGCTAACCACCAATTTTGGGATATTTCGTTTAATCTTGTCAAGGGTTCACTTGTTAGCCTCATGTGAATTTGATTAGTTGTTAAACTTATAGTAGTCCGCTCTTTGCATATCTGCAAAAGCGTTAGTTGATGTTCAGTCTCTGAGATTGGTGATGCAGATAATGCCGGGGTTATTGTGAACCCAAAGGGGGAAATGAAAGGTATATTACATCCTTTTCCCATGGATTATCCTTTTTTTAACCATCTCAGCATCAGACTCTATTTTGTACATGCATTGTTGTTTGTAGTGAAAACTGTAATGCATAAATTTATTTTTGCTTCTTCATCTAATATATATCAATCGATGTTTTCTGCTTCTTCAGGATCTGCAATTACTGGACCAATTGGAAAGGAGTGTGTTGATTTGTGGCCTAGGATTGCTAGTGCAGCCAATGCCATTATGTAATATCCAGATTTTTCTTCAGGTGTCAGTGAGGAGTAGTAGTTTCATGTTATTTGTTATTGAAAAGAAAAGTGAGTTTTTTTAAATATGGATCCATATTTGTATTGGATGTTTTTGTTTTCCCGTGACGTACATATATTGGAATTATATGGATCCATATTTGTATTGGATGTTTTTGTTTTCCCGTGACGTACATATATTGGAATTGATATTCTTGGATCAAGCTGATGGTAGCATTGTTTTCCTTTTGTTATGAAATTAAATGGTGATGGTTTGAAGATAATAATGGTGATAGTTTGAAGATAATAATGATTCATATATTGGATATCGTTATTGAAAATTTATTAATAAATAAGCTACTGGAAAATTTGGATAATAATGATTCATATATTGGATATCGTTATTGAAAATTTATTAATAAATAAGCTACTGGAAAATTTGAAGATATTTTGTCAAACTTCTCAGGGGCTTTGTGAAATTTATCCTAACTTTTACCTCAACATAAACCTTAATGTCCGCATAAAAGATTGAGGAGTTAAGAGAAAGCATAAATTTTCTTAAAACACAAATTCTGTAATCCAAGTTCATGTATAATAAAGTGTATCCAAACACTATATATGAAATCTTTGATTTCAAATCTTTGCATTTTGTAAAGATACCCAAACAAAATATTCTATCAAATCATTGATTTCAAATCCTAGATTTAAAATCCTTTGATTTTGAATCAACATTCCAAATCCAAATCTTAGTTCCCAAACGCAGCCTTAAGGAAATTGGGGGCCAGAAGCAATTTTCCCTATATAATAACAATGGTAACAACAACAACAAATGTAATAAGGGACAAACTTCAACGATGCAATTCTAGCTCCCCTTATAACTTGTGATTTCCGCAGTGGAAAAAGGTTGTTATTTGTAGACTTATCTATTCTACACCATAGAATGTGGCTATTGCCTCGAAAAATTCCTAAAATGCTTCTGAATCCGATTCTCCTTCAATCTCATGAAGAATTACGATAGTAGCAGCTGCAACGAGTGCAGCATCAACGTTTGCACTCAAAACGTTGGGAAATTCCCTATGTTTCCTTTGAAATTGTTGGCCTCTACCAATCTTTCTTTAAAACTAAATATCAGACCACTCTTCTTCTCTTTCCACATCCTGAGCTCTCACTTCCAACTTCCTTCATCCATGAACAATGAAGCTCACTTCCACAAAAAAAACCCTAATAAATAATGTATTCACTCTCCCTCCCAACTTTTGTCTTCCGGACAAACTGTTGGATAGCAGGTTTCTAATATGTTTCTTAATTTGTTTTGGTAGCATGTTTTTGGGATTTCTAATCTGTTTTGGTAACATGATTCCAAATCTGTTTTGGTAACAGGTTATTAGGATTCCTAATCTGCACAAAATTTTATGAAAACCGTCTAACAATGGTATTTCCGTAATTAAATAGTTTCTATAGGTTTTCTAAAGCTCAGTTTGGTCCACCAAATTTTTACTGAGATAGATTTCTATAAAGTAGAGAAAAGAGGTATATTTTGTATAAATCTACCTTTATCCTATCAAAACCATGTAGAAACATTTTTTTCTCTTTCTTGTTTCTCCGGTGAACCAAATAAAAAATGACAAGAAACCTTCTTTTGGGTTTCCTTATTTTGTGCTTCTGAACTAAACTAGGAAAAGTACAAAAGATGGAAACCTCCATTTTGTAACACTAGTAAAAAGATTTCCATAAAAATCTATGGAAATATTTGGAGACTATTTCTCTGCCCACTTCTTTTTTTGGGCGGATTCGGATCCTCTCCACTATCTAAAAAGTAGTGAAGAGATCACTACATAATCACAACCATTGATTATCTAGGTGGTGGTTATGATTTTTTCTTTTAGTGTAAATTAGGAATGAGTGCAATACACAGGGGTATGGTAATTGTTAGATTTAGATTGTATCATAACCGCTTATTAAGTAATCAACGATTGAGATTAAAAGTAGTGGTCTCTCCACTGCTTTTTTATAGTGGAGATGATCCAAATTCTTTTTGGGCTGTTTGGTAGGCTTAGAAACTAAGAAAAGAAAATCAAAACACCCAACAAACTCATGTGAACATGTTTGATTTCCTTTTCTTGTGTTTGGTTGAGAGAAGAAAAAAAAAAGATGTTGTGCATGTATGACTCACCCACTAGTAAGATAATAGTGTCATGGGTTCCAAATTTAAGGAAACTCATTTCCTCTCAAAAAAAGCATGAAATGGGTTTGAAAATATAAAAATTGGTCTCACAACTTATTTCTCATGAGTAATCTCTCAAACTTGAGTTTCTAAGAAATGAACCAAACAGTCTCTAAATGGAAATCAAACCAAATAGCTCTAAGTTGCCGAATAGTATATATATATATATAATATATATATATATATATATATTATTATAATATAATATATTATAATATTATATATATATATATTATATATATATATATATATATATATATATATGGACATATGGAGTAGAATGTGAATCTAAGGTGACACCCTAGGCTCTCACCTAAGGACCGGCCTTAGAATACACATCATTTCCTAATTTTTTTTACGATCTATCCATTGAACTTGATCTACACTTCTTAAACCCAAACACACCAATTTTGGGGGGAACCCGTTGTGTTTTGACCATTCGTTGAGCCGTGCAAAAAGTTCTATTCATTCGAAACCGTTAAAATTGCAACGAGTGGATAAATGGTCAAAACACGATGGGTTCACCCCAAAATTGGTGTGCTTGGTTTAAGAACGTGTAGATCAAGTTCAACGGAGCGGATCGCAAAAAAAAAGAAATGATGTGATTTTAGGCCGCGCTCCTTAGGTGGGAGCCTAAGGTGTCACCTTAGATTCACTTTCTATATATATGATATTATATATATATATATATATACTATATATAATATATAATAACATTCTCCCATTTAATTATTAAGCTTCTAATATTTTAGTACTATTTTAGGCACATACTTCTCATAGAGATAGAGGTATTGAAATCGTCTTGGCCTTAAGAGAAAGCTGAGACACCGATCCAGCTTGTTGGGCGTTGGGGTTTTTTTTTTCTTGTATATAGAGATAAAATAATGATTTACGCTTTGTTTAGAAATCTCAAAATCACTTGCTGGTAAATTATTACAAATAAATATATAACATTGTTATAAAATGAAATTAATCAATTAACACAGCTAATAAAGATACATGATAAACGTTAACACAAAACCCCCAACGACTTGCTTAAACTTTCTTATTTAATCCGATAATAAAAAAAAGTGAAGTAACTAAGCCAGCATGTTTGGACAAAGGGATAAAAAAACTGATTACCTTTCACGGATTGAATCTCAAGAGAGATTTCGTTACCTTGATAGATCGAATCTCACTCTAAATAATGCTAGGTTACTGCTGCTTAATGTGAACGCAAGTGCATCATAATATGAAGAAACATTTTACCACAGTTAAATTGCGAGATACCATCTCTTTCAGATGATCGATAATAAAGTTATGTAAATATCACTTTTTTTGGAATTTGTAAAGCTTTTGCGTGCATGTCACATGTTACCTATGTATCCAAACACAAGTATGTAAAATTGTACTTAAATACCTATACAATTTGCTTCGCACTTATTTGTCCTAAGTATTTCCTGACATCTAACAATCTATTGTTTCTATTAGTTAAATATTGCAAGTCAAATGAAGATTAACCAATTTTCATCACGTGTAGTGTAGCCATATTTTTAGGGCTATATTCCAATATTTAACTATAACATTTAAACATTTAACTAATAAGAGGTAGTTATGTGTTATTTTTAAGAACAGTAGGGTATTTAAATGTGACAAAAAGACTTGGGATATATAAGAGTGAAGTCATGTATATAATAAAGTGCGATTGACAGCTTTTTATCGCGCCTTTGTGCACACGAGAATCGAACCCAAGCCCCTCATGAGGGAGCGACACAACTTTATCATGTGACCTACTAGGCCACTCAAATGATAGCATATTCTAACTAGAGTTATCAGAAAGCTAGAACTTCCTGGTGAGAAAAAAGGGTGATTTTTCCGGTGTAACTCCCTAGACTATTTCTGAGTGTAGAAAAAAGTAAAAATTCCACACTCTAGTCCTCTCTTTCTTGATTTTTTTTTTTTTAATGCAGACCATTTTGAGGATTAAATTGGGATTCCAGAGGAAATCGCCATTCAGGAAACTTAGGTGCTTGGCCTACTATCTTTAAAATGGTAGGTGGGTTTTCCACCCTTGATCAGTCAACTTGGACTGCGAAACATAGATGAAAACTTAAGGAGGCGGAAGCAATTTTCCCGAGTTAAAAACAGTTCACAGGGGTTAAAGGCAAAACCGCAAAGTAGAACCTCGTAACTCCCAAGTCTCCGTCGCGTCTCCCTCAAGACTAAACTTCAGGAAGCCACCCTCAAAATAAGTATTAAACTGAACTCGAGGATTTTGAGGAGAGTGACGAATTGCATGCTTCTTCTCTTCACGCTTATTGTGCTTTCTCCTTTATAAATCCCTAAACTTTCTATCTCAAAAGTGAGTTGTACTAACTCTATAACCCTTTCTTTATTTCCTCATACGCTTATTTGATTTCTGCACATTACGCTCACCATGGATGCTCTTTTGTTACGATCAATGTTAGATTTTTTCCCCCTTCCTTTCCCAATCGGTGTACATTAATCTACTGTGTCTGCTTATTTTTGATTTTTTTTTTTGTTTTGGGTTGCAGATATATGATTTTCAATAAGGAGATGGAGATAATGATGACCCATCTCAGGGTAAGCTATTTCGTGAACTTTGTTTGTGATTAATTGGGTTTTTAGGTGGTTTTATGCTGATTGAATGAAAACTCAGTTGGGAATTTGATCAAGTTCTCATATTTGGGTGTGATTGTGTTGAGCTGATGCTATGAATGAAATTGCCCCCAAGTTGTTTGGTTTCAAGAGTTCTACTTCGACTAAAGAAATAGATAAATATTTGATTTAGAAATTAGAAAAAAACCATTGTCTTAAACACTTAGTTACACAAATGGTTTACCTACTTTAAATGCTGTAAGGATCATCATCTTTGGTAAATTAATAG